ATATCACCAAGAGAAAAACTTGCAGTTTGTTTAAGGTAAGAAAGTATGAATTTCGAAACAAATTATTACACTTACTTAATGATACAATGAACTCTAAATTTTTTAATTTATTAATAAATCAACAAAATATTACAATAAATAATATTAGATTATATTATGATATGATCTTCAAAAAATTATAGGAATAAATTTACTATACTATATAAATATCAAATGAAACGAAAAAAAAAACAATATAATAAACTTTAATTAAAAATCCAAAAATTATTAATTAGGTACCATATTATTTAATTTTTTAATTTAACAAATACTATATCCAGTGAAAATAATATAAAAATAAATTCTTGAAGATATTCTTTAGATGATGAAAAAACTAAAACACTTACTTAAAATTTAAATAGAATTAACTGTATCAATTTTAGTTTTGATTATCTTCAGGAGAAAATGTATATAAATAGCTACCACGTGATGATGTTGAAGCTGTTGAATCATATTGGATATTTTGAATTGATTAGTTTAGTGTATTCTTATCAATTAGGTCTTATCATTACTTGGTGATCCAGAATTCGACATTTACCAACAGGATTCCGTTACGGTTGAATTTAATTAATTCAAATTTTAAAAATGCCTACGTTATGTGCAGTGTTTGAGTGTTTAAACAAGACAACCAATAAAAACCTTTCTTTTTACCGTTTTCCCAAAGTCAGGAAAAATGTTGCATCCGACATAAATGCACTTTTGTTGGCTCAACGCAAGTCGTGGTTTAATGCTCTACATCGGTTTGATGTAACAGATAAACAACTGGATCACATGAGAATTTGTTCACTTCATTTTAAAATGGGTTTGTGAATTTATTTAAAAAAAAGATAATAATAATAATATGTAATAACAATAAATAATATTGTATTATGTCGAGTAGGTAAACCGCTCATTACGGTGATATGAAGAAAAACCCTGATTGACTCCTACCTTAGAAATGGGATACATAAAAAACAGTGGTAGGTATTTTATATTTATTATGACCACTAATGATATATATATATATATTCAGTGTCCCTAGCACCAAAATGGTGTGGACATTAATTATTAAAACAATTTTAGAATTAGAAGGCAACCCAAAGTATTAGTAAGCTTTAAAGCGCTATATACATTATACAATCATAGGTAATTTATAATAATTGATATGAATTATGAAATGATTTTTATTAAAAACTTGTATTATGTGCCTAACACTGCTAACATTCAGATTTAAAAATAAAAATAAAATATTTAGGTACCTATTTAAATTCAATATTTTATTTTTTATATGAAAATAAAATAATAAATGTATAAATTATTCTTATTTTAGCAACTAATGTTCTTTAAAAATACTTTTGTGTGGTATATCATTTTAATAACTATTAATCATAAATATTTTACTTATTAAAATGATTTTTCACTAGGTAAAGCTACAACTCCAAATCTACAGAGGTATAAACAGGCTGAAAAAAGAACATTATTAAAGCCAACAAAATTATTCAAAGAATCACCGAATAACAACCTCAATGATCAGCATAATATTGAAGATGAGAAAGATGAAGTCATTAATGCTGAAACAGGAATTTCATGCAATACTGAACTCACAATGGATGATATTTCGGAATTGGAACTTTTGAAAGATAAGTGTGACCAATTACAAAGGGATGTAAATTTTTTTTAATTTTTCAGAGAACTCTTTTTTAGACAGGCCCACAATGTTTCCATATTATGCTGGGTTAACAATGGATGTTTTTAAATTAATTTTGGAGTCAATTAAACCAGGGCTAACTGCATCAAATCAGAGACTAACTGAGTTTTAAAAATTATTATTATGTTTAATGAAATTGAGATTAAATTTGCCTTTTAAAGACCTGGGTTTTAGGTTCAATATTACATGTGCAACTGCATCTATGATATTCCGTAAAGTCATCATACTATTAGAGCACATGTTTAAAAGACTAATCTATTGGCCAGATAGAGAAGCTTTAAGAAGAACCATGCCCCAATCATTTTTCAATGTGTTTGGGAATTCTGTTGCTGTAATTTTAGACTGGTTTGAAATTACAATAGAGGAACCATCTAACTTAAAAGCTAGGGCATAGACATGGTCTTCATATAAAAATAAAAACACGGTTAAGTATTTAATTGCAATAACACCTCAAGGTAGTATTTCTTTCATTTCTGAAGGTTGGGGTGGACGAACCAGTGATAAATATATAACGGAAAATAGTAACTTGTTGAATGAATTACTTCCAGGTGATGTTGTATTAGCTGATCGAGGATTTACAATAAGTGAAAGTGTTGGATTTCACTGTGCAACTTTGAAAACTCCTGGATTTACAAAGGGTCTACCTCAATTACATCCTTGTACTACAGAGGAAACAAGATAAATTGATTCTGTACGTATACATGTAGAACGAGTAATTGGTTTAACTCGTTCTAAATTTAAAATCCTCAATGGTCCTGTTCAAATTACTACCCAGAAAAACCAAGATGATAGAACATGTCTCTTGGATTCTATAGTAACTGTTTGTTGTATTTTAACAAATATGTGCAATTCAGTTGTACCTTTAACATAAAATAAAGGCATAAACAGTAATATTAAAATATATTGTGTAATTTTATACTTAGACATATTATAAACAAAAAAATTAGAACTTACTTTTGTATATTTAAATAATTAGTTATCATAAAATCATTTGACTTATGCTTACAAAAAAAAAAATGGTATAATAATAATAATAATAATATTAATGTTTACTGACACAATGCACATTTCCAAGTTTTTGTTGAAGGCTTACGTTTTATTTTTGACACCCTTCTTTTGTACACATTATCATTTTACCTCCTTTTTACAGACACAGTTTTCATATGTAAGAGTCTCATCGTATGTTTCTGAGGGTTTTATTTCAGTGTTTGAAAAATATCTTCCTAATAATTCTGGAAGAATGGATTCATAAAAAAACCATTTAGATTTTTTTAATATTTCATCTTGTATATCAGGGTCAATGTTAATACGTTCTATATAACATTCATTTGGTGACCAAACTACAAAATCACCATACTGAGTGCCACACAATAATATTTGAGTTTGAAGCTGATAGTAATATTGATTGTTTTTACTTAGATGACCATTAACTACATAAGACATACTTTTTGTTTCACCACCTTCACTTAGGGTATGTGGATACTTTATTTCTAAACACCCTTTTCCACAGCAATCACAATTTATCATACCGTTGGGGCTGGCTCCAAGATATGGCAAACTTGGATTTATAACTAAGCCTGAGTTATTCATAGAAAAATGTATATGGTGATTTTTATTTTTTTCCATGTATGAAGCTTTTGCTTCTTCTTCATGATTAATCCCACATTCAGTAGCTTTACTTTTAAATGTGTTTTTTAATGGATAACATATTGATTTTATGAGAGATTTATTTGAATAGGACGATTTTACTGAACAGACGTCTTTTACCCTAGATGGAGTTATACGACTAGTCCTGTATAAAAACCAATTATGAGTTTTAGCCTGCATTTTTGTAGAAATTTCTATAGAATAACAGTCTTCTGAAGTTAATGAAAAGTCCAGTTTAGAACCTACACATACTAATTCTTCCAAGTTTAGTGTAGAATATTTATCTTTATAAAGATTTGCAAGGCTTTTTGGAAATTCATTATTAACAAACTTTAAGTTGTATGGCTCTACAACTTTTAGTATAGCAGCATTACTTTTTATTCTTTCAAGGTTTGATAGAAAATTTTTAAATTCTTGTGGATCATTTAAAGTTGTTTTCAATTTTTTTGTAAAATCAGACTTAGACTTGGCATTTTTCTTTGGGTTTTGGGGAAGCATAGATTTGCTACAGTCAAAGTTAATTTCGCTTATCCTCTTGGGATCAACATGTTGATTGGATGGAGTTACCCAGTAAGCTGAAACATCTGTCATTGACTTGCTATTCTCAGATTTCTTTAGATACACAAATTTTAAATAAAAAACAACATTCACCTAAACCAGCCATACAAGTGCAATGTGCACCACAAACACTCCCACAACTCTTTAGCACAAGCCAAGGCAAAAGCTTTGCATCATATATTGAATATTTGAAATAAAAGAAAGGCATTTGCCTTCAAATCCGAACCCTAGTTATAAGTGTATTTTATTTAATAATCAAATAACTTATACAAAATTATCTAACATAAAATATTGTACCTTGATCAGGGTCTGTGTTACTTTAAAACTACTTTTTGGTTCATTATCAGAACTAGGGCTGTGCGATTTTTTTAATTAATCGAATATTTTAATCGAGTATTCGATTAATCGATTATTTTTAAAGAATAATAAATAATCGAATAACCGATTTATCGATTATTCGATTAATATTCGGTTATTCGAATAATCGGTTATTCGATTAATATTCGGTTATTCGAATAATCGAATAATCGAATAACCAAGTTTTTAGTTTTTATTGTGTCAAAAATAGACACAATAAATATTATTTTTATTCGACTGCCGAGTATAAATAGATTCTAGATAAGAAAATCTTGCATGTTTCCGAGGGTCTAGTGGGTCTACCAATGGGAAATGGGCAATGTAACAATGAGATTTTATAAATAAACTGATGATGATTTATTAATGGCGATTTATATTTTATCGTTTACTTGTAATATTTTTTATTGACTTATTGTTTGCACAATCGTCGGACGTTAAACACTATTTGATAGCTAATTCATCTCCATTCTCTATCAGCATTCAGCACACGCGGAATTTAATAATAATACCTACTAATATATACAGAACAACGAAAGTAAGTACTTTTATATACTAACTTATACCTACTATTTAAAATTTACTACTTATATCTATATATAAAAATTTATTTATATACAATTCGTATAATTAAATATTAATTATTTATTTCATAAGTAATCATTATTCATTATTAGTTACTACCTACCAAGTTACCAACTAAAAAGTATTAAATATGAGTGAGGTATGGCAAGTTTTTAGCAAAGACGATACAGGACTTAAAGTAATATGCTTAATATGCAAAAAGAAATATGCAAATCCAGGATCAAGCACAACTAACATGTGGAATCATTTAAAATTAAAACACAAGACAAAATATATTGAACTTGATCGAATTCGAATGGAATTATTGGGAAGTGCGTTTGATCAAGACGTTTCCAATGTTTCCATTGACGAAGATGGGTAAGTAAAAACTTATAAGCTCTAATATAGTCCATGATTCGAGATAGTAAAATATTAGTTCAATATAAGTGTGATTTAAAGTACATACAAATTGTACTTATTTTTCACGTGTTCACGACTGTTGAGAGAGTTTTAAATTTTACCGAAAATAGTACCTATGTCGATATCATTTTTGAAATGTATGAACTTCTTTTTAATAATTGTATTTAAAGGTTAAGCAATACTAATTTTTGTTGCATTAAAATAATATTAAGTTTCAACTTACAACGTGAGTAATAATGTTAATATTAGCTGAATGCCTAAACACCCTAAGCCTAAGAATTTTATTTATTTTATAATGTGTACTGCACTGCTGTATCCTGCAGTAATGCAAATACTGTCTATTATATGTATAATGTATATATAAAATATTAAAAAAGTTATTATTATATAAAATTGCTACGAGCCTATAACATTGCGGCAAGTACCTATTTTATAAGGCTGCAAAATATGCGTGCAAAATTGTATGATCGGAATATTATCAATAATTTAATATTGATATAATGGACGTAAGCTGAATACACCAGTTTGAAATGTTTTGTTTATATGTTGAATATAATAGTGCATATGTTTTGAAGTATTTGAACATCAGTACCTAGTTGATCAGTGAAATGGTATAATATTATGCTTAGATATTATTCTGTGCTATTAATTCTAAAAAATTGTTGGAATCGTAAAACTATTATAAATAATAATGATACTAAATTTACAGAATGTCTGATAGTATTTGTTAGAACATCATTGGAATATTAAAAATAATAACAACTGTTAGACTAAAAGATAAATACAAAAGTACCTAGGTACTTTTAACATGAGAATATAATATTTTGCTATTTTATTATTTAAAAATGTATTAAAATACGTTATTTGATTCTATAACTAGATATTTATTATCTATATTATCTATATTAATTGCTACCATAAATAATCCATCCAAAACATTAAAATAAATACACCTTAAAATAAATAATAATACATTTTTTTCACAAAAATCATGTTATTTAAAAACCAAATTATTAGTTTCAAAACTATATTTAATATTTTTCCATCGCTATTATTTAAAGAGGAAACGAAAATCGACATATATATTACACAAAACCGTTTACATTTTTAAACTTAAAAACAAACACATAATATATAAATTAATTAATGAAAATCTGACTTACATTAAAATATGTAATAACAATACCACTAAACACCAAATAATATTGGGTGATTCGTATAGTATGCTCACAATAATTTTTTTACGAATAATGAATTTATGTAAATTGTTATTTTTAAAATGTTTAATAAATTATTATATTAAAGAACCATATTTCAATTTTTAAATCATGTAAGAAGTTTACTGTTGTGAATTGTATTATTGCAAATTTTTTTCATTCATATGAGAATCAGCCTACTTTTATATAGTGTTAAGCAGATGATATTTTTGAAAATATCGAGATATCTAAATCAAAATTGGAACGATTAGTTTCGAAGTTATTTAAATGCAATTATTAAAAATAAAAATAGATGGCTTAATAATAAAATGTAAAATTGATACATTCATATTGTACAATAATAAAAAAATATAATAATAGCTTAAAAATAAAATATACCAATATAGGTAATATGACTTTTTATACCTACTATGATTCAAAAAAAATTACAAATAATAATATTCATTTTACTTGTTATAATGTTTATGTAGGTATTTGTTATAAATATATTATAATTTATAGGTAATTATCTACAGTTAATAATAATATTTATATCATTGAAAATAAAAATAAATATTATGTTTATTATTCAAACTGGATAAGAAAATACAAAAATAATTGAGTACTTATATACATGCATTGTAACTTTAAATAATTTCTAAAAATCCCGCTGTCTTTATCTATTTTGAAAGATAAATGGTATTATAGGTATCATATTATGCATATTTTTTGTCATCACGTTTAAAAAAAAAATACAATTAACGTTTATACATTAGTTTACTAAAATATTATCAAAATTTGAAGGACTGATTTTCATATGAAAAAATAATTTATATAAATATTTAATTTTTTTTTTATTATTATCAATGTTGATCCCTTTGCTCAGAAATTTTATTTTGTTAATTTAAATTAAAGATAAAAATGTCTAAATATCCATTTACCTATTTCATTATATTTTTATTAGGTCTGAAATTGAGGAAACAAATTCGTTACTCTCACAACCTTCTACTTCAAATTATTTACCAGAACTAGGTCAATCAGATTCAAGTATTTCTCTGCCTCATACTGCTACTGAGACTGACACCTCCTCAATTGCCACGATTCACAAGACAACTTCAACTAGTACTAGGCAAATGAAAATGACACAATTTACTCTGAATAAAAGTGCAAAAATAAAAATTGATAATGCCCTTGCCTATTTCATTGCAACAAATATGATAACATACAGTTTAGTGGAAAAGGAAGGATTCAAACTATTTGTAAATGCGTTAAATCCTAGCTACAAACTACCAGGCCGAAAAACTCTTACGGAATCGCGAATTCCGTCTATGTATAGTGAAACACGTAACATTATAGGAAATATAATTAAGAATGCCAATTTTTTTACTTTCATTACAGACTGCTGGACTTCAAGTTCAAACCAACCGTTTATTGGTCTCACGTGCCATTTCATCAATGCTAATTTTAAATTAAATTCAGCCTGTTTAGGTTGCATTGAACTTTCAGAAGACCATACTGGTGAGAATATAGCTGATGTAGTTCAAATGTTGTTTTTAGATTATGAGGTACCAGATTGGAAAATATGTTCAGTAGTGACTGATTATGGATCTAATATGCTAAAGGCTATACGCAATTTAAATATACCACATGTTGCTTGTTTTGGTCATGCTCTTAACACAGCAGTTTCACGTATTTTTAATATGGACGAGATAAAAGATGTAATCCATAAAATCAAATCAATTCACAATATATTTGCTCATAGTTGGAAGGCTGTTCGAGAAATAAGAATAGTCCAAGAGAAATTTAGCTTACCAAAAAAAAAATTTCCATCTTACTCAAAAACGCGTTGGTGGTCGATGTTGGAATTAATTAAGGTTATTATTGAGCAAGAACTTGGACTCACAAGATTTTTACGGACGTATCAAAATGGTGTATATAGAAATTTATCTCTCCAAGAATCAGATATAATCATGTTAAAAAACCTAAGTTGTATTATACAGCCAATCCGGGAAATAACTGATAATTTAGCTGGCGATTCATATGTCACAGGTTCTGCTATACTACCAGTTATTTCTTCGCTAAAATCAAAATTATCTAAAATAACAGAACAAAATGAAAGTGGAGATACGGACATCAATGGAAAACAAATTAAACACATGTACACGACTATTATTGGGATTCTAGATCAAAGTTATCAAAATAACACATTGTTAATTATATGTGCCGTATTAGATCCTAGGTTTAAAATCGAGTATATTATGTATGATGATTTATCTGTTTTAAAGAAAACCATCGGAGAATTTTGTGAAACAACATACGAGAGTATCGAAAGTAATAGTTACGTCAACAATACTGCTAATCAACTGGCATCGCAAAAAAAAACAAAAACCGGATTGTCAGTAATTTTTGGTACCCCTGAAAATAATAGTATGGATAATTTTCAAGTAAGAATGTGAATACCTATAAATTACTTTAATTTATTATTAATACTTTTTAATTGTATCATTATAGGAAGTTCCATTAAGCCAAAAAATAAAAAATGAATTGGACTTATACATTAACAATCCAAAAATCGGTGTTGAACAAGATACACTAGATTGGTGGAACATAAACAAAACAACTTAACCTATTATGTTCATTTCAGCAAAAAAAGTTATGACCGTTCAAGCTACAAGCGTTGCGTCTGAACGTATTTTTAGTAAAGGGGGCTGTGTATTAACTGATCATAGATCATCGTTAACTAACGAACATGCCAGCCAGCTAATTTTTTTAACGATGAATAAGGACTATATAGCTAAACCAGCGTTTTAAATATTATTTTATTTGTATATATCTTTAAGTTTAAGACTGACCCTTAAGGTAAACGGCAGTTAATTTTTGTACCACTAGTTTATTTTATGTTTTTATGAATAAAGCGTTTAAACCAGACTATATATTTGATTACTCCTATTACTATTATTAGAACACTATAATATATTGTGTAGTATCAATATGGTTATTCAATTGCAAATAATACAACGATTATTCGGTTAATCGATTAATCGGTAATTCGAATAGTCAATTACTATTCGAATATTCCTAATCTCGATTAATAATCGTAATACTCTCAGATTATTCGATTAATCGATTATAATCGAACATTTTATTAATATTCGATTATTGTCAGAAAAATAATAATCGCGCAGTCCTAATCAGAACACACAATTGGCTGATTTAGTGGTTTGACTTCTTCGGAATACAAATTTCTAACTTAAAATAATCATATTATTAAAATTATGAATGAACTATATAAATTACTTACACTTTTGACCCTTAAAATTATTTTTGAAGGTACTGCATTTCCAACAAAAAATCTTTTATTATTCCGCATCACAAAACATGTCTCAAGAAAATGTTTTGAGCAAACAACAGAATATTTATTTATACTTTGTATATTTAATTTATTTTCCAAAACAAAATTCTTCCATTTGTCGCTAACTTGTTCATTAACAGGAAACCTATAAATTAAATAAGTGTGGTTTTTTTTAAATTTTTTAAATTTTTTTTATTTAAGCTACCAATATAAAATTATTACAGCTTAACAATTACAACTAAAGATACATTAACAAATAGCAATGCAAGATATAAAGAAGCCCAATAGAAATATATACTGACAAAAAGAAAAGAAGACAGTCAGAGATTAAAAAAGTTAACAAACTACAATAACAAAACAAAAAAAAATAAACATAAAAAAAAAAGGTTGAATAAACGTTTGAGAAAATTTAAACCAATATAATCAAATTAAGAATCCAGAATTTTCGAAGAAATTCAATATAAAAAAAATAATGGCTCTTGAAAAGGAATTAAGGATTATTGTTGGTTCTAGTGACATAATATTGTAATTATGTAAAAAGCGGAGCAATTTAGATCAGGAGATAGAGAGTGATGGGCATTCGACGTGAATGTGTGAGAAGTCGCAAATTGTTTCTTCTGCATGACGAGTGCACAAAGGGTAGTCGTTCAAGTGGAGGTAGAAGGCATGTGCAGAAAGTAAATTGTGACCAAGTCTGAGCCTGGTAAATCGGATGATTTGGGACCTGTCCAGAGGCTGGTTAACGAACCATGAATTGTAGGGGTTATGGATCTATACCACTTAGCGAAATCAGGAGCTACTGATGACCATCTATCTTGCCAAGCCTGTTTGTAATTATTTTGTAAAATATTAAAAAGATCCGAGGGCAGGATTTTACGCACAGACGGGCTTAAACTATATTTGGTGGATGAAGCGAGGAGATCAGCAACTTCGTTGCCTGAGATTCCGGAATGGCCTGGGACCCACAAAAATTCAATTATTATATCCTGTGAGTATAATTAAAAAAGCGAAGCTTTGATATTAAGAATAAAGGGAGACGTGGCAGCAGAAATTGAGATAGAATTAATAGCTGCTTGGGAATCCGAGACAATCAAGCGTTTTGTAATGTTTAAAGATTTGATATACTCAAGAGCTGTCGTAATCGCATAGCACTCTGCCGTAAAAGAACAAGTGACATGAGGTAAGGTATCGGAGTATTTGAACATCCTTTCAGGGATAAAGAATGAGAAACCTGCAGAGTTAGTTGACACTGAGCAATCAGTATAAACCAAACAGTAATTATGATTACATCTATGATTCCAGATCAAAGAAGCCATCGATCAGATAATCGATACGGCCGAGGAACTGTTCGCCCAGAAGAACAGCCTTCATAGCGCATACTCTGAGCAGAAAGCCACTTCGTCCCAGCTTGCCACTGCTAGTCTAGCCAACCAGGAAGAGATTATAAAAGTATACCAGGAACTCAAGGCAAGCATATCAAGACAGCAGGAGGATGTCGATGCCCTTAAATGTGTTCCTAAACAGAATATCGTCACATGCGCGCATGCAAAACAACCACCAGAGAGCCGAACCCCAAAAACGCCCACAACTAACCCAGGGCCAAACCCGGAGACCCTAGCCATAGTTGCCGGAGGAAGCGCCGAAGCCAGGAATAAGAATAAGCAAGAAACAAGGGGAGAGGCAGCATGGACCGAAGTGGTCAAGAAGTCCAGGACGCCCAAGAAACCGCCATTCCAACGAAGCAGACCCGACTCGATTATAATAGACACCCAAGGCTCCTCCTCGTACGCAGAGATACTGAGGAAGATTAAAGCCGATAAAAGAGTCCAAGACGTGAGCCATGCTATAAACGCGATTACCAAGACTAGATTAGGACATGTCCGTATCGAACTTAGCAGAAATGCCAGTAACGCGGACATCCTAAGAAGCGCGGTCTCCCAAGCGACTGGCGACGAAAGCGCCTGTAAGCTACTCTCGGATACGGCGAAGATCGAACTAAGAGATGTGGACGAAGAAGCTACAGAAGAAGAGGTGATGCAGGCCATCCTACAGAGGGCAGAAAGCCTTAACGCTCCAGTCCCATTAACAAAGAGGAACACGGGACGGGGTACGCAAATCTTTGTAGCCACGGTCCTGACGAAAGTAGCTGCCAGCCTAACTAAAGGGAGACTAAGAATAGGCTATGTTAACTGCAGAGTTCGCCGATTAACAGAGGTCAAGAAATGCTTCAAGTGTCAGAGCTACGGGCATAAAAGAGAAACCTGTACGACCGAAGCAACCTCTGCTGGAAATGAGGCGTCGAAGGTCACAAAATGAGAGAATGTGTGTCTGATGCGAAATGCTTCTTATGCTGCAACGAAGTATCAAACGACCACACGCTAGGCAGCTTCAGATGCCACGTCTTCAGACGGGCACACGAGGAAGCCGTGAAGACAACAAAATGATAAATTTCCTACAGATAAATTTGCACTGTGCTAGAGCAGCGAAAGACATAATGTACCAATACACCAAGGAATCAGGTATTGACTACATACTCGTATCTGAGTAAAACAAACTAGACAGCCAACTCTGGTATCCAGACGCGAACGGTAAGGCAGCAGTAGTCTGCAGCCCAAGCTGCACGGTCTCAAACGCCGGCCAAAGTGAGCGCGGTTTCAGATGGATAGAGGTTGAGGGAATCACGCTCTACTCGTGCTACTGGTCCCCGAACACCACGCTGCAGGAGTACGAACAATTCCTGACAACACAGTGTGAGAAGCAGGAACACCAAAATATTAATAGCTGGCGATTTCAACGCGTGGCACACGTCATGGGGGTCCAGGACGAGCAATCGCAGAGGCGAAACTCTAGTAGACGTGATCACTTCCCTAGGACTGGTAATATGCAATAGGGGCAACTCACCGACATTCCAGCGAGGGAAATTAGAATCTGTCGTGGACTTGACCATAGTGTCTCCTGGGCTGGCGGTACGCATCAACAACTGGGAAGTTTCCGACTCCATCACCCTAAGCGACCACAACTATATTAAATATACAATGCTGACGGACGCCCAGGTCACCCCCGGCTCCGACCAGAATACTAGAAAAACGAAGCTCGACTACCGGAAGCTGGAGGAAACGCTGGGCGCTGGCGTCCTCGTCGGCCTGTCGCAACTAGACGCTGACCACTGCGCTTCAACCGTGGCAGCGAAAATCACCGAGGTCTGTGGCACGCTGATAGAGTCGTGTAGTAAGAGAAAATCGATGTATTGGTGGACACCCTCCCTGAACATTCTGAAGAAGACAGCCAACCACACCCGGAGAGTTGTGCAGAGAAAGAAAAGAAGATTAGGCCCAGATGAATGCACTGAGGAGTTGGAGCAGATGAAGAATGCGAAATTGGAGCTGACCAAGGCCATTAGGAAAGCGAAGGAGCTGTGTTGGAAGAAGCTGTGCGACCAAGTAGAACAAGACCCCTGGGGAAAGCTGGTTATGGGCAAATTGATTAGAAGCCACCCAACCAAGGTACTGCAGCAGATCTCAGTGCTCCAAAAGGTGATAACTGGACTGTTCCCTGTGCACCCACCTCGAGACCCAAAAACCTAGCAGTATCAGGACGCACCGAAGATTTCACCGGAAGAGCTGGTCAGAGAAGCTAAGTCCCTCAGAAACGGTACTAGCCCAGGCATGGATGGAATAACCAATGAAGCACTCAAGCTATTGGTAAGACGCCAACCCCAAATCCTGCTGCAGATGTACAACAAATGCATCGAAGAACGTCGATTACCGAACCCGTGGAAGAGATGCCGGTTGGTGCTCATAAAAAAGGGAGACAAACCAACCCAGGAACCTTCATCCTATAGGCCTCTGTGCCTCCTGGACTGCATCGGGAAGTTGTTCGAGAAGATAATTGACAACCGTCTGAGAGACGTTCTCGATTCCGACACCGAGAGCGGGCTCTCAGACAACCAGTTCGGCTTTAGAAGGGGGCGCAGCACGCTGGATGCTCTCACCGAGGTATGCAGTTTTGCCGAGGAATCCGGTGCCACCCACAAAACAGGACTACTGACCCTCGATGTGCGAAATGCATTTAATCCAGCTTCCTGGGAGAAGATCCTTGCGGCAATGAGGGTCAAGGACCTGCCACATTATCTGTGCCAGTTGGTAGACGATTACCTCAGAGGAAGAACCTTAACCTTCCAATTACCGAGCGGAACCACGACGACAATGAACCTGTCAAGCGGAGTTCCACAGGGATCAGTTCTCGGACCAACCCTGTGGAATATCCTGTACGACGGACTCCTTAGATCGAGAGTTCCCGCAGGAGCAAAGTACATGGCCTACGCAGACGACATAGCGATAATAGCTCGTGCCAAAGAAACCTTCGAACTGGAAAGGGTACAGGCCACAGCGGCGGATAGGACAAATGAATGGATGCAAACCTTAGGTCTCCAGTTGGCACTTGAGAAATCAGAGGTCCTGGTGTTAACCAACAAACGCCGCCACAACGAAATGAACTTGTTAATCGGCGAGACACAGGTCAGCGGAGGATCCGACCTCAAGTATTTGGGAATACAATTGGACGGCAAAATGAACTTCACCGCCCATTCGAAGCAGATTGCGGCCAAAGCTAATAAGGCAGTGCAAAACCTGTCGAAGATTATGCCCAACGTGAGTGCTGCCAAACAGAGCAAGAGGAGGCTGCTGTCGAACGTGGTACACTCAATGCTCCTGTACGGGGCGCCAGTATGGGCAGAGAAAATGAGCCGCAAAGGGCTATCCGACCTAGAAAGTGTTCAGAGACGCATAGCGCTGAGGGTCGCGACTGCCTACCGAACGACCTCTAAGGATGCGATACTGGTGATAGCTGGCATTGCACCACTAGATCTACAGGCCATAGGACGGAAAAGCGTATACGAACGCAGAGCGGACCCAGATATCAACAGCGTAAAAGAAGAAACAAACTCCAATACGGTCGCGACGTGGCAGGTGAGATGGGATCGGGGAACCAAAGGACGCTGGACCCACTGGCTGATTCGGCAGATTAAGCCTTGGATCTCCAGGAAGCATGGGGACATTGATTATTGGTTGACCCAAGCGTTAACAAACCATGGATGCTTCGGAGCGTATTTGCACAAATATGGGAAACTGACTTCGGCAGAGTGCTGGTTCTGCGGACACCATACGGACGACGCACAACACACGTTGTTCGAATGCTTCAGATTGGAGACACAAGTAGGCACAACACTCACATCACAAAATATGATCGAGCTGATGCTGAGGGATCTGGAGAGCTGGAACGCCATCAACCGGTTTATTCACGAAATTATGCACAAGAAAACAGAAGAGGAACATAGGAGGCAAAACCACCCGGCGTAAACGGTTAAGAATGTAAAGTAGTTAAGTCTAAAAGCCAAATTTTTACAGGAATGTTAGAGGCCTTCCATGTATGTATATTTATACAGTGTATTGTTAATGAGCTTTATTTATTGTGTAAATAAACGATGGTGACTGGGGGGTGAAATGACTAGTCGGTACCACCCCCAGTCATCGATTTCAAATGTAAAAAAAAAAAAAAATATTATTTATAAACTCACATACACTAATATTATTATATTGACATATCTTCTTATTATATAAAATGCAAATTACGACGCGGCTCGTTTTGCAAATAATAACCTAAATTTATAATAACGTGTACAGTTATTATAATTTCATTATATACTTAATTGAAGGATTATATTGAAGAAATTCTAAATTCTTTCTATATATTTTTAGAAGAAACAAAATCTCTAAGTGGTTGTGAGACTTTTGTTTGGGAATCTTCGAGAAACAAAAATAAGACCAGCATTATTAGATGATGATAAGAACACTTTGGACGCTATTTTAATGGGAAGTGAAAAAATTAAAAATTAAAAATTTTTTAGTAATTATTGACAAATTAATTTTTGAATTAACTAGGAGAATGGAAAATTACAATAAATTAAATAATAAATTAAGTTTTTTATTAAATATTGAAAACGAATCATAAGATAACATTCGAAAAAAAGTAGCAATCTTGTTAAATTTTATAATGTAGATTTAGAAAACTACTTGGGAGAAGAATTAATACAATTTAAAAGTATAAGGGCAAAGATTTCAGCTGAAAATGAAATCATTTATTGCATTGTATAAAACTTAAAGGTGTTGATCTCAATTATGCAGAATACAAATTCATACGATCTACCATCATAAATGTAGACCACATATCGTAGCGGAAAAAAATAATTATACTTAAACACGTACATCCACTAAAAGATAAAATAGGTCAGATAAAATGTTCTGATATATGTCATAATATCTTGTATTTTCCTACTGTTATTGTTATTAAAAAATAAAATTGTTGAATTATCTAACCTACCTACAATTACTGTGTGTCGTGTGATAGTAAAACAAATGTTATTAGTTTGTTAGATACATATTGGTCGTCGATTGTGTTGAACTGCGTTTACATTTGTGTCCGTTTTGTATATCGTGTGCATTATGTAATAAAAAATTTTATTTGACTGTCACAAAGAGTAAAGAGAATGCCACTGATTTTTTAAGGGAGCACGGTTTATTAGATACTGTCGAGGAAACATTGCCATGTCGTAAGTGTGGTTCAGAAATGGTTGATGCTAGAGAACGAGATCGAGGAGGTGACATTCGTCCTGTCATACGGTGCAAAAAAAAGGATGTCAGACCTTCGCCTTCCCCCTGATCCTTAATCTGGCTCTGTTCCCATGCACTTATAACATCATATTCTTTAAAGTGCGATGCACACTTTTTTTAGCTCATGACCTAGAGCATCCTCAAAAAGTTTTTTTTTGTTTTCCTTCTTGGGAAAGTCAAAAAGAGTGTTAGAAGCACAATACGGCTCAAGAAGTGCACAATAATTATCCATAATGACCAAAAATTGAATAAAAGTCTTCACAAAACCAATGATCAAACACAGACTACAGTGAGATTTTGTTTAAATAATAATCACTGTTTCATCTAAATCCGTGATAATAATATATAACGGAACATACCCATATAATTATTATATAGATAGATCCCACTAGCAGTGAATGATCATAATTAACTCAACAATATTTATAATTGAATTTTCAATAATTTAATATTATGGCGGGAAATGGAAATATAATATTGGAATTCCAATTAACAACCACTGGGAGCGTTAGTAGTAGCTCATTAGTCACTTTTTCGCATGTTAGATGAGAACTCTAGTACGCCGTGGTCTAACGCAGGCAGTAGTAACTCTATAGGCAGAAAAAGAACACTGTTATTAATTGATTACATCAAACCCCAGTTAACCTATAAAGGTAAACTATAATTTGCGGTGCAAACAAATTATTTGAAATATAATATATTGTAATGTACCTATGCTATTTAATTAATTATTGCTTATGCATGAATATGTAATGTTTTATGCAGTTAATGGTAGTGCTGATTGTTCTAATGCTGGCATTGGGTATGCTGATGTTGTTGCTGATGTTAGTGTTAGAAAAAGAAATAGAAAAAAGAAAACTTTTGGTATTAGACTATTATTATAATTTATACTATTTGAGTGTACATTATAGTAACATATTGAACATCCTCTTTTCAAATTAGAAGTTCTGAAATGTTAATTAAATTACTTTTATTTTAGGTTTATTATGCAAAATCGGTATGAAACGGTCAAGTCAATTAACACCAAAATGCAAATCATTATATGCAGATAGTGTTATATTAACTAAGGAACTACGGCGCATGAGAAAAACATGTCTCACTTTCAAAAACAGAGTTGCAGCTGCCGAAAGTGTGTCAGACAATATGTTGAATTCAAAACTGTCAAGTAGCATGACAACTGCTGCAACAATTTTTACTCGGTTACAATTACGTGAGACAATCAATAAACCAAAAGGGAAGAAGATTTACACTTGAAGAAAAACTCCTTAGTCTATCTCTATACAAAAAGAGTGCCAAGTCGTATAGTATTTTATCAAAACTCTTTACACTACCTGGGAGAAGAACACTTTCAAATCTACTTTCTGAACTACCTACAGATACCGGTATTGATGAAACTTTAACAAAAGTGTTACGTCAAAATGTGAACAATTTGACAAACCGTCAAAAATATTGTGTAGTTCTTTTTGACGAAATGAGTCTTGAAAGTAATCTTCAGTATAATGACAGTATTGGTTCAATTACTGGGTTCGAAGATAATGGTGTTTCGAGAACTCAAAACTTTGCTGATCTTGCACTTATTTTCATGATAAGAGGAGTTGTAAAAAAATATAAACAACCTTTTTCTTATACTTTTTGTAAAAGTACAACCTTCAGCCATGATTTGGCAAATCAAATACGTAATGTACTTAATGCTGTTCAGTCCACTAGCTTGAAAATTGTAGCGACCATTAGTGACCAGGGTGCCACTAACATGGCTGCAACAAATATACTAAAGAATGATACAAAGGCAAATTATTTACGAAGAAACTTAGAGTATAAAGATGATCTATATTATGAAATTAATTCTCATACTCAATGTTTGAAAATAATTCATTTATATGATCCACCTCATTTATTGAAAGGAATCAGAAATAATTTGCTTAACAAAAATGTTGTTTTCACAATAAATGGTGAACAAAAGGAAAGGAAGCGAGTTGGGATAATATTGTCGATTTATATGAAATTGACAGTAATATTCCAGATGTACGAATGTTACCAAGATTAACACTGGAACATGTTGACCGTAATAAGATTTAAAAAATGAAAGTGAGAAATGCTGCTCAAGTACTGAGTGAACGAGTATCCTCAATTATGTCTTATTTATCAAGTAAGTTTCATTGTTAATTGTAACTCATAAGATTTACATATTTACGTTTTGTTTTCTAGCTATTAACGTACTAAAAGAAAATGCCAAAGACACGGCAGACTTTTGTCTTCTATTTGACAGAATTTTTGACTCACTCAATGGCAATTTTGATAAAGTAGTTGATGGGAAAATTTATCGAACTGGCGTTAAAAAACATTCAATCCATCATGATCTATGGAACAAATCTGTACCAATTTTGAGTTCAATGTATTTCGTCAACCCCAAAACAAAAAAACGTACTAGTCCACAACCACCTACACTTAAAAAATGGGCAAAGACCATTAGAGGTAACCAACATTCATAATTTAAAAACTATACCTATCTAAATCAAAAATATTAATATACATATTGTATAATATATTATTATATATATTTAAAAAAACACTTACTGTTATTATATTTGGAATTATTCTGTACAAATGACATACATAAACACTTTAACACTCGTTAATACTTAATAGTTTATCCTAGAAATTATGATCATGTAAAATATGCATAGTACATTACAACAATTTCAGAAGGATTCTTGTTCCCCCTTCCCCATTTATAACAAGTAAAATCCTCACTAAACTGTAATGACTCCTCCATTTATTATTATGTTTTTGGTATATTGATAAGTATGGCAGAGAAGTTATAGGATTTGCATGTTTTATTCTGGGACTCTATTTTATAGCAAACCAAGATATAAATATAAGTCATAGGCCACACAGTTGAAATCTAAAATTTTTTTTTGCATATTTTTGCATATTTTAAAGATTTAAAAAAAAATTGCATATTTCGTTATTTTGTGCATATTTCATGTATATTCTACATACAAACTGTATGGTATTATTATATACTGTATAGTATATATACATTGTATACTACCCGATGCCCGTATAGACTATGCACTATATTATAGGTACCCACATATTTTAGGTGGGCATTCGGATAATGTTATCGAAGATAAGATTTGACAGATTGGCATTTAAGTATCTATATTAAATTTTATATTATTATGTGTCCAGAGTCCACTGTCCGTCAGTAATCTCGTTAGTATGGTATTAAGTGTCGTTCGATACGAAACTGCGTGCCGTTTGTTGTGTTTTCCATTCTTACATTTTTCTTTTAACATTTCTGCTAACATTTTGCACAATGCCAAAAATAAATGCAAATATATTTAACAAGTATGTGAAACTGTTTGGTGAAGATACATTTGCTACCGATGGTACTATGCTTTATTGTAAGATTTGCGAAGTTAAAGTAAGTGCTGATAAAAAATTTACAGTAACTCAACATATAAAAACAAGTAAACACGAACGACTATTAGCTCGTCAAAATAAACCTGCAGAAAATAAACAACAATTTATATCACAGCCGTCAAAC